AATACCGACTCATACCCGAGTCAAACAACACTAGGGTAGGTACAAATTTCACAAGGAAAGTACCTAACATTAGCAATATTATAAGAAAACATAACTAAATCAATAGAAATAAATAAAGAACACATACCATCCACGACGTCTGGTGCTGCTATGGCCTCCTCTGTTGTCAACTGAAATACTCTCCCTCGAGCCCTCGGAGCCTCGGCCCTCCCTTTTCGGGCATTGGTAATATGCAAGGTCGCGGGGGCCGGAGGCTGAACTGTCTTGGATGCAAGCTGAGGATACTCGGCCCTCAAGTAACCTCGTCTGGTTGCAATTGAAGCAAATCCGAAATCACTTGGGGAAATGCATCGCTATATGCCCCTCCTTGCCACACATGTAGCAAATAGTCCCTGACCGACATGGTCCTTCGTGACCCTTGCCGCACTTGCTACAAGTGTGGCCCTTCTAGCCTACAGCTTTCTAGTCAGTGGGCTTGAACCGCTTAGGCGCCGACTGCGACCGCAATGGTCTCCTATCTCTACCCTGAATCTCCCTTTCTTCTCTCACCTAGGTCTCCATCTCGATCTTCCTCCTCCTGGCATTGGTCAACAGCTCAACCAATGTCCGATACGAATTGTTCACCACAAACTTGCGGATATCCCTCCTCATAATACTCAGATACCGACTCACACATTCCTGCTCCGTCGACATGTGCTCAGGGGAAAACAAGGCCCTCTCATGGAACATCCTAGTGATCTCAGTCACCGTCTCTGTCTTCTACTTGAGAGACAGGAACTCCTGGGCCAACCTCTCTCTCTTAACCACTGGTATGAACTCATCCCTTAAAATCTCAGTAAATTTTTCCCATGTCACTGCAAAACGTTTTGCAAGAGAATAGTCAGCCGTCATAAATTTCCACCAATCCTTTGCCCCCAAGCGAAGTAGGTTCAGCACGAAACGAACCCTGAAAGTCTCCGTACAGGAGCAAGTGTAAAAAAAACTCTCAACATCAAAAATCCATCTCATCGCGACAATCGGGTCCTGGGTCCCATCAAACTCTGGTGGCTTCGTGTTGTTGAATTCTCGGTACCATAACAAATCACCCCCTTGCGGTCTCGCAACAACAACGGTTGCGGTGGCTGTGGAAAAGCAACCTCAGTGATGGTGACATAGTGCTTGTCTACAGTCTCAATCAGTGTGGTCTTAATAGACCCAAACATCTCTGGTATAACCGCTTTGATTTTTGCGGCTAGCTCGGCGAAAACGATCCTACAGATCTCATCATCACTGGCACTCGGCCTCTCGGGGTCGTTGGAGCCTAAGATTGAGACTGAATCAAGAAAACCATCAGAACAGGATAAAGCACATACATGAACAGTTACACACTCCTGCAAGTTCCTTAGTTCCCTAAGATTCCTCTTTGAGCCGCGTACGGATCCAAAACTTTCAGTAGTACGGGTCCTATACTACATTCCACTCACACCCGTATTTGTTTCAAGTCGTCCTCTCAAGACCTTACGTCACAAGAACTCTATTCCTCAAGAGTATCTATACACCCGCCCCATCGGTTCCTCAGAACCACTACTAAGCATCTAGGTACTCATTCTAGACTGTTCCCCTGCACCGCTCCGCCTCACAAGATCTCTGTTATCCTCGCCATTTGCTTTGCGCATGCCAATCGTACACAATAAGGAATTGATAGACAGTCGAATAAATGTTTCCACCTCAAGTCGATCTTGCAATTATAAATCATAAAATTTTTGCATCATTTTACTTGGATCAAAGCATTTATTATAATATAAACTTTTATATCTTGTATTTTTGAACCATAAACAACCTTTTGCACCAACACTTTTGGATTATAAATGTAGTGTTGTAAATAACTTCAAAGCCATTTATTCTTTAATGATTAAAGGGCTTTGCAATGGCCGTATCATTATTACCAAATCTCCAAAGCCCTTTAATCATAATGTTTTACATAATTGCATTAGGCTCACAAAGTCCTTCTTTGATCAGCTTCTTGAATAATTTTTCTGCACTGAGGATTCTATCTTCGAGAACAAGTCCATTTAAGAGATTGCTAAAGGTGCGGAGATCTGGTAATATAGCATGTTTGAATCCATAGACCAAAACTGCAAATCCTTCACTCGTGCAGTGCATTTGGCAACAACACTTTATTACAATGTTAATAGTACACACATCAACAGGAACACGAACGACATTCATTTGTTTAAAAAGTTCAATAGAACAAGAATAATGCTTCATTTTGGCAACAGTTTGCAACAACTGGTTGAATTTAACAACTGAAGGCAGAGGTTGTCTCTGTGTCATTTCATCAAACAGTTAGAGGTCATCATCAAGGTTAGTAATCTTCTCACTCACAGATCGAGGATGATTAGCTAGTGTTTAACCATTGGAAAAAGACGTTGAATGAAATTGGAGCTGAAATGGTTTTGGCGGTAAGGGTTCCGGTTCCTGATTGTAAAAATGATGAAGGATGTCTGAATGGAAGGAGTGGGGAATGAGTAGCGAAGGTAGCTTTGAATTTATTGAGGGGATGAGAGACGATAAAATAAACAAGGTTTTTTGGTTTCGTCGTAAACATTATAACCATCTTCAAGTGAAATCGAGCTTTAACTACTTGGATATTCACCGTGAATGAGAGACTTTGAATCAGAAAATTATGTTATCAGCTTCGTTTTCATTGGTGAAAAACCAGTTTATGGGTTGGACCTTGGTGAGACCGTGAGACCCGCTTGTCAATTAATGTATGGGTCTGGTCGGGTCGGCAGCCTCACGTGGACGGCCTTTTGATTTATTGGTTTTGCTTAAATTGTAGAAAGAGAAATTAAATATCCTCCTATTTTTTCTACAAATTCTCCTACCCAATTAAATGATGACATGTGTCATATTAGTACAATGAAATATCATTAAATTTCATTTAAATGAGCATTAAATGTTACACATGTCACTATTTAATTGTGTAGAAGTATTTGTAGGAACAAAAAATAGGAGGATATTTAATTTCTCTTGTAGAAAACTAATATTTAATTCTCAATTTGTTAGTTTATTGTTTCCTTAAATTTTAAATATCTAATAGTTTTAAAGAATAACAACGTAACATCAACTTGATTGCTAGAAAGAATAACAACGTAACACCAGCTTGATTACTTACTAATGATTGAAACAAAAGACATTAATAAAGACTTCCCTTGACTTTCGAGAGGTCAGGATCTCTCCTAAATGATTACTCACATAATACTATCCAAAAATACTCGCTCCCTAACATCGATCTCCTATTAATACTCTCATTTAGACCGACCTAACTAAGGTCCCGTTTGATAGTTTCTGTCCGGGAAAGTGTTGTCTGGGAAAATGCTGTATGAGAAAGTTTTCTGACTGGAAAATAAACTATGTTGTTTGATTATACATCTGATTGACTGTGTTCAATGATGAAAAATGACAATATTACCCTACTATTCTATACTGTGATAGATAAAATTGTTAAATAATTATAAAAACATACAAATTGTCATACAAAATTAAAATTACACAATAATCATTTAAAAATCGAAATAGAATATCGATTAAGTTGTTTTTAGTTTATTTTTTTTCAAGTTGATGTTACACTGTTATTCTTTCTAGCAATTTTAATTTTTTTTATAACTCAACATGTGATTCTTGACCCGGTTTATGTCATATAGTGGTGGGACGGATGTTTTTTTTTGAAATATATTAGGATGATGGTGGTGTTGTCTAAAAAAAGAATTAATCCAATAAAAATGAATTCAAAAAAAATTAACTAAAAGAAATTAATAATCCAATAAAGTAATATTTATTAATATATAAATATTATATATTTATAAATAATATTTATTAATATATAATAATCCAATAAAAAGAATTAATCCATAAAAAGAAAAAAAAAAGAGTTATTTAAAAGAAATTAATAATCCAATAAAACAGTATTAATTAATACATAAATATTATATATTAAAAATAATATTTATTAATATAGAATAATCCAATAAATTTTTTTTAAAAATTATTTAAAAAAAATTAATAATCCAAGAAAGAAAGGGGCAGAGTTTGGGGTACAATTGTCTTTCCAGCCTATTCAGCCAGAAAGATATGATTTTGGAGCTTTCTGGAAAAGACATATCTTATCGGGAAAGACCTATTTTTTTGTGCATATAAAACAGTCTTTCCGGTCCATTCAGCCAGAAAGATCTATTTGGATTTGGAAATATGTCTATCAAACGGGGCTTAAGAGAATGACCAAAATACCCCTCAATCACTCGTTTATTACAGCAACTATACTTCTACTTATTTTCTACCTTTAAAACTACCATGAAGTGTAACAATGTGTTTTCAACCAAGCAGGAAGACACAGACACTTCACCACTCACACATGACATGTTGCTTGTTACACAGCTTGGTGAGCATCACCAACATGATTTTTGTTTTTTTAATCTTCATTGCCTTCCGAATGCAAAAACCATCATGTGTAATTAAAAACAAATAAGAAGTGCAATGAATCTGACATCTCACGATGGAAAATTGTAATTTTAAGCGAATATTAAAAGTATGCTTTAAGATGTATGTAACAATCATGCATCCAATGTTTCTTGCACCATTTGAAAAGGATCCAACAAATGATCAATAACTCCAAGGCCAAATGGCTATTAATATATATATGACATTTTAGTTCTGCTATAATGATCTCAAGGTATATAGGTTTAAATCGAATTCAAAACTGAAGACTTGTTGTATAGAGAAAAAGTTGATGATAATAAGTGAACAACGAGTTAATATTAAAAGATTACATAAAAGGCTGCATATATTAATGTTAAGTGACACATTAAAATGTGACATAAAATGGAAAAAGTAAAAAAATTACAGTAAAGAACAGGTCAAAATAATGGTAACTTGATATCTGCAAAGAAAGAGAAGTAAACAAAAACAACTGAAAACCAAATATGGCCAAAACCATACGTTTTAGAAAACCAAGAAGACATTTACACTCTAAAACAAGGAGCATCCACTTCTTCCTTTGGCACAAGCTTACCAATCAGCTTAAGCAAAGAAGCATCTAAAGATCTAGCTTTTATATGATCAAGTAACATTGATACAGTTGAAGTATCAAGTGAAAAACCTCTTCCTTCCATTTCCTGTAAAAGCATCTCAACCGAATCATGATGAACATACTTTAAAATTCCTTGTAGAAGAACACGGTAAGTCACATCATCTGGTGAGCAACCTCTCTTTTCCATCTTAAAAAAAACTCTTTTGCTTCAGTCACTAAACCTTCCTCACAAAAACCACTGATCATCACATTGTATGTCCAAACATTAGGTTGCAAACCTCTAACCCTTAACTCATTGAAAAGCTTCCTTGCAATATCAAACTTCCCATTTTTACTTGCACCATCAATTAGTATATTGTATACAACAATATCCAAATTTAGCAAGGTGTTGTAAGTGATCACATTCGGTTGCATACCTTTTTTAGTTATTTCATGAAACAAATACATGGCTTCTTCTATCTTCAGTTTCTTGCAATACCCATTCAATAAACTACTATAAGTAACAACATTAGGCACCAGTCCTTAAGATCCCATCAAATTTAAAATTTCCTTTGCTTTGCTCATTTCACCTCGCAAACAATACCCATCAATAAGTGAATTGTAATTCACTACATTAGGATCAATCCCTCTTTCAATCATTAAGTTGATAATACAATTTGCATCCTTCACCTTACCTTCCTTGCAAACTGCATCAACTAATATATTATACGTCTGAACATTGAGAGAGATCCTTTCGTCCTCCATCTCTTTGAGCAATTTAGAGACCTCATCCCAACAGCATAAGTTACAAAGGCCATGAATCAAAGAATTGTAAGTGACAACATTAGGAAGGATGTGTTTGTGGAAGACCATTTCTTTGAAGAGGTTTAAAGCATCATCGACCACTTGTCTTTGAAAAGACTATCAATGATAGTGCTATATGTGAACACATCAGGTTTGCAACCTCTTCCCTCCATTAGCTTAAGCAATGCAATGGCAGTATCATTATTGCTAAATTTACAAAGCCCTTTAATCATAGTGGTGTACATAATTGCATCAGGTTCACACATTCCTTCTTTGATCAGTGTCTTGAATAATCTTTCAGCTTTGAGGACTCTATCTTCTAGGACGAGTCCATTTAAGAGTGTGCTAAAGGTGCAGACATTCGGTAATATATCCAGTTTGAAGCCATAGCCTAAGACTGCAAATCCTTCACTCGTGCGGTGCATTTGGCAGCAACACTTGATCACAATGCTAATAGTGTACGCATCAACAGGAACCCAAGGAGATTCATTTGTTTAAAAAGTTCAATCGAACAAGAATAGTGTTTCATTTTGGTAACAACTTGCAACAATTGGGTGAATTTAACAACTAAAGGCAGAGGTTGCCTCTATGTCATTTCATCGAACAGTTGGAGGACATCATCGAGGCTAGTAATCTTCTCACTCATAGATCAATGATAATTAACCATTGTTTGTTGGATGGAAGAAGCCGTTGAATGAGAACGATCTGAAATCGTTTTGGGTGCAAATATTCCGTTGCATAATTGTAAAAATGATGAAGAATTTCTGAATGAAAGGATGGGGGAATGAATAGCTAAGGTGCCTTTGAATTTGTTTAGGGAAAGTGAGATGATAAAAGAAGTAAGCACCATAACTATCTTCAACTGCGAGCTTCGGCTGGATTCGCCTTTACAAGAGAAACGAAGAAATCGTATGCTCGACCTCGTTCTTTTATTAGACCGTGTTTGGTCAAAATCCGGGTATAGGGCGGGGTCGGGTCAGCCCTTGGCCTGGATGTGTTTTTGATTTATTTGTATAATTTGCAAGTTGCAACAAATAAGATAAAAAAAATATACTTTACTTTTACAACAAAAATTCAAATAAAGTCAAATGCTTAATGTTTCATTTTAAGCAAATAAAAAATGAACTTTGAAATTTATGACAAACATGATGTATTTTACAAATAATCAACATGCAACATTTTATTTTCGTAAAAAGAAAGTCACATAAAAATATCAAATGTAAATTACATGTAATGCAAAATGTCGTTCATTAAGCAAATTTATTAGTTAATGTAAAATAATTTAATCAACTTAGTTGGCAATTTGACATTCACCAAAGTTGAAAATATTATAAATAATTTAAAGAAGCAATTTCACATTTTGCAACAAGAAAATAATTTCTTTTTCTCTAATGTTTTGCTTTCAAAACATTACTTAAACCTAAAACAACTTATGTTTTGCTTTCAAAACATTACTTAAACCTAAAACAACTTATTAAGTAAACACAACAAATAGCACTTAAGCATAAAGTATTAATCACTAAATTTCTATGACTTTGACTCGTTTAAAAAGTAAAAATAAATTATATAAATGATCTATGTGATTAAAGAATATTATGGTGTCATATCATAATATTCTGTAAAGACTTTTAATCATTTATAATACAAAAAATTATTATATACAACCTTTTGCATAACAACTTTTGGATTATAAATGTAGAATCATAAATTTCATTTTTAATAGTCGTGATTCAAAATTTTATGATTTATCTTATATTTTTTAATCATAAAATTTATAAAAAATTACATCATTAACCTTTCTTTACTATAAAATTACTTTAACTACATAATTCAAAAATGATAAAAATACAACCTTTTATTTGTTGTATTTTTGTATCACACAAAATAATTTTCATTATCATTTTTGGATTTTAAAATTACAATAATAAATTCCAGTTAATAATAGTCCACTCTCATGCTTTAGATCATAGGTCTTGTGTATCATGACTTTTGGATCATAAAATTTTGCATCTTGTATTTCTAGATCATATATATATTATATATATATATTATATATATTATATATATATATATATATATATATATTATAGAAAGTTGGATTTTAAATATAAGTATCTTAATGTTCTCTATTACTAGTCATAGTCTAAACTTTTTATGATGCATCTTATGTCTTTTGAACATAGACATTGTGCTTTATTTAAGATCTAAATATTCAAAAATGGTATGAATAAAAAATGTTATATATTTAATCTGACGTAATTCAAAAATGTTATGATTCAAATTGATACGATTAAGGATCATAAAAAAAATTATTTATAGATTAAGGATCATAACATTTAAACAAAATATATTATTCAACATGTTATTATTTAAAAATGATATGATAAAAAGAGTTTATGATCCACATGTTACTGTTCAATCAATATAATGATCCAAGTTGAACATTTATGATCCAAATAGTTATATGATCCAAACATGTTATCATCAAATGCTACAAATAAAAATGATAAACAAAATCAATAATATGATGTCATTCTAAAGAGTATAACAAAGTAATTATATGATCCAATTCCCACATATTTGTGCTACAAACATGTTATGATCCAAATAGTACAATACTCCAAATATATACATAATAAATAAAATATACACAAGATGTAAGAATATTATAGGTTTATGGTGTGTTGTATAGATGACTATTTATATAGTGAGAGTTTCTATTTACTTAATAGACTTGTATAATTGTGTCTTTAGGAGCTTGATCTTTATCCATGTAGATATTTTTTTTGCTAATATGCTTCTCTTTTTGATGATATTCTTTCTTCTACACACACATACATATCCATAATTCACCCAACCTTTCTCTGAGATATCTTTTAAATTTTAAAAATTTGCATGAAGACCAACAAGCAATGTAAATGAAGAATAAGAAATCATTCACTTACATCTCTTACATACATAAATACAAATAGTTTATGTGCACAAATCATTACAAAAATTAGAAAAAGCTTTCAAATCTCTTATAACTAGTTTAACAAACACCTTGACTACTTTATCAAAGTTAGAATTCTAATTAAAATTTATGATTCAAACATTTAACCAAATTAGGAACTTAAATACAAAAAAAATCTAAAAAATGAAATATCTTGAATAACCTTTAAGTTTAGCAACTTTGTACCTAGCGAAATGTGCTGGAAATAGTGTCGAAGGTCATTAACTCTTGGTCATATTTCTAATAATAACAGGGTTTTTTTGCGTTGCCCTCAAGACCCAAATTGAGTAGAATAAATAAAGGAGAAATTAGTTTATTAATTATTATGGTTAATAATTAATTAGAAACTATTTGGAAATATATTTTGGAAATTAATTAACAGTTTAATTAATTAAAGGGTTGAATATTCAATTAATCAATAGTTAGTTGACCAGGAATATTCAAGAACCCTTATGGAATTAGGGTTGGATGAAAATCACTCCATCCCACATGGGAAAGGGGGTGACTTTCGTTGTTGGCCTCTTGTCCCATATGGGAAGAGTACAAAATCTTGGAAAGGATCCAAGGCTACAAATAGGGCCTTACAGATTTCATTCTTCCTTGCCCCTTGGCTTAAAGTTTTGCCAACCCTTCTTCCTCCCCCTCTTAGGGACGATTTCTAACCCTCTTAGGGTTTGTGAAATTGACCCTTCTCCTAGTTATTTTTATTCCATTGTTTGGTGTCATTGGGTGTAATACCATTAGAGGGATTCTGGTTTGGGTCCTCTCATACAAGAAACTTCATGGAGGATCAAGATCTCAAGAATGAAGATCAAGGGCTATATAAGAGGTATGTTTTTCTTCTTTGTTTTTATGTTTTCTAGGGCAGGTGTAATTAGAATGAAACTATAGATCCATAGGGTGCATGTACACCTAGGTATATCGTAGTTTCGATTTTTCCGCTATCTAGTTTAGAGTGTATTTGATGCGTAGAAAACCTCACAGTGGTATCAGAGCCATTGGTTCATGATTACATTCACCCTAGATCCATATTTTCTATAAATGCTTGTTTGAAATTGAATGAATAAATAATGATTAAAAAATTCATAATTGTTAAAACCTTTAATCGTAGCTCTCGACGTGAGAGCTTGCTGCTCACAACGTGAGCTTGCCGGATTAGGGTTTCCTTAATATTTCATTTTTCAAATTTGAAGATTTGTTAAATATGGATAAATACCAAATTTAAAATGTTTTTAAATATGGAAAATAATAAATATTGTTTCATAGAAAATTGAATTTGAATATTTATTAATTATTTAAATAGCGAATTTAAATATTTAATATTATTTATAGTAGAGATTTATAAATTTGAATATTAACCCCTCGCGAGTTATTAATTGTTACGTTGCGTCCTCGCGATTAATTAGAATTAATAATAGAAAACTAAATTTAAAGTGTTTTAAATTTACCCCTTGTATTTATATATATTAGGATTGCATCTATTATATATAAGAAAGTTACAACATGCACCCTCGTTTGTTTTAAATATTGACATTATCAGTATTACCATGACTAGGCTCACCCATTCTAATGTAGGGGTTTATGGAGGTCTCTTTGATTCCTAATGAGGTCAGTTTTTAATATGCTTCACGCTTACCACCCTCACCGCCCAATTGCATTTTGAGAATGAAGTTACTGAAAGGGTTTGATAGTGATAATGGTTAATCTAAAAGTATTATAAATACAAGTATAAAACAAAATACCATTTTATTAATAGAATGTGAATCTTATATTATCCATGAAAATTTCACATTATCTTTATATTCTTTTGATGGAGCTCGTGTGGTTAACCGACACATCAATCTAGAGTATAGTTGAGAATGATATGGAACTTGCGAATCTCAAGCGTAACTTGAGTTAGGGACCATACGATTTGGCATGGTTAATTCACAATCTATTTAAAGTGAATCTTATATTATCCATAAAAGTTGAACATTCTCTTTATAACTTGTTGATGGAGCTCACGTGGTTAGCCGACATGTCAATTTGAGAGTATAAGTAGAGAATGATGTGGAACTCGCGAATCTCAAGCGTAACTTGAGCCGAGGACCATGCGATTTTGTATGGATGATTCACCATCTCTTCTGTGATCCGCAGAATTTTAGATGAAAATAATTTGAGATTAATATATACCATTGATAGTCAATGAATCTCAAAGACCTTGGAATTTCATGGTGATCGAAATTGGCAAAGGGCTTTGGCTACCTAAAATAACTTTATGGTGTGTTTACGACATCCCTTACACATCATGGAGCCAAATATGGATCCTAGCCTTCTGAAATAATTTTATTTAGGGTGATTATTTTCTAAGGATTAACGAAACAAACTATAATGGAAATAAAACCTTTGAAAGGATTAGCTATTTGGATGATCAATCTTGTCTAAATTCGTAGT